TGAGACTTTCAGGCAGGTGTCATGACAAGACTTTAAGGCGTGTAGTGTTGCCATGACGAGACTTTAGGGCATTCCTGTGTTATGATGAGACTTTCAGGCCATGTGTGTCATGACAAGACTTTCAGGCGTGTGCCATGACGAGACTTTCAGGCATGTGTATGATGAGACTTTCAGGTGTGTGTCATGACAAGACTTTCAGGCGTGTGCCATGACGAGACTTTCAGGCATGTGTATGATGAGACTTTCAGGTGTGTGTCATGACAAGACTTTCAGGCGTGTGCCATGACGAGACTTTCAGGCATGTGTATGATGAGACTTTCAGGTGTGTGTCATGACAAGACTTTCAGGCGTGTGTCATGACGAGACTTTCAGGTGTGTGTCATAATGAGACTTTCAGGTGTGTGTCATAATGAGACTTTCAGGTGTGTGTCATGATGAGACTTTCAGGTGTGTGTCATAATGAGACTTTCAGGTGTGTGTCATGATGAGACTTTCAGGTGTGTGTCATAATGAGACTTTCAGGTTTGTGTCATGATGAGACTTTCAGGTGTGTGTCATGATGAGACTTTCAGGTGTGTGTCATGACGAGACTTTCAGGTGTGTGTCATGATGAGACTTTCAGGTGTGTGTCATGATGAGACTTTCAGGTGTGTGTCATGATGAGACTTTCAGGCGTGTGTCATAATGAGACTTTCAGGCGTGTGTCATGATGAGACTTACAGGTGTGTGTATGATGAGACTTTTAGGCGTGTGTCATGATGAGACTTTCAGGCGTGTATGTTAATTATGTAAATGTAAAGTGTGTGTGTCTGTGTGTATGCATGTGTGTGTGTGTGGTATATATGTATATATTGCTGCTTATGTTTCCCTAGCGTCAAGACTTGAAGGCTAACAACCGAGAACTGGTGCATGTTGGGATCATTGGTTGGATGAGTGCTCAAGGACGAGTCGCTGAAATACTGGCCGTTGTTCTGACAGATATCATTGTCTTTCTACAACGAAATGAACAGAAGAAATACACATTTTTCACACAGGATAAAAAGGTACTAGCAAATAAATGTAACAAGAAAGGTTTATTTATTTCTTCAGATTTTTACTTTGCATTTATTTGTTTTTAATTTGATTGATTGATTTTCATGCTTAATTGTTTTGTAATGTCATAGAGTTTTTTTTTTTTTTCCTAAAACAAAAATATATCTTTATGAAGTGTTTGATTACGTTTTCTCAACAATGTTTTCTTCAGGGTATTTTATGCTTGTGTTTAACAAATTGTTCCTGCAGTTGCTTGTTAACTTGTGTTGTTATGTTTTTATTGTTTCATGTTAATTAGAGCTTTTAGTTATATAATATTTATTCATTCATCCATTCATTGTCCTGCTGTTCAGTTATATGTAACATGGGGCCCGCAGTCCTTTCTCTCTATTCTATTCTATTCTATGCTGTGCAATAATTCGGATATCATGGATGGAATCCATTTGGATTTTAGACATCTCTGCTAATAAATGGGTAACCCCTAGGATTTATTAGAATGCCACAGAATGCCACCCAGCTCAACCCCAGATGGAATTGCCCAAGCTACAAGTATTTATCTAATTAGCTTGTTGAGGGGGTGACATCTTGCAGCATCTGCAGGAAAAACTAAAAACAGCTACTGAGAAAATGTTCTTTGCCACCGTTCCAATGATGATATACAAGACATCTTCCATCCCAGCCCACCTGTTGAAGTACAAGCATCTCTGTTCACCAAATCCACTTGCACTACATGTAAGTGCCAGTTGACTAGCTTTGGTCACAGAGACAACTTGAAAACAAATTGACAGAACATACACCCAGATGCCTGTGTGCACAGTTGAGTAGTTCCACTAGGATGTCAAAACCAGCCAAGGGTAACTCTTCCATAGTACATCATTTGCTTAATGCCAGACCTGTAATTGACAAGGACAGTGCTTTCCATGTAAGACACATCCTTGTCCCAGTGTATACTTCAGGGAAATTATTTCAGTTCTTGGGCTTCTTTATATGTTGATGTAACTCTATCCTAATGCAATAGACGAGATACAGTGACATATCACACTGCAGTGCTTCACCAGGTATCCTCTCCAGTCCTCAATTAGTTTCCGAGATGTGGCTAAATAATGCATGCAGTAAGTGGAATGTTCTATCTAATCAAGAATCAAGTTCTATTGATCACGTATGAGACCCCAGAGTATGCCATTTAGTCAATATACTGCACCATCCAGTCTACAAGATCTCATTATACTGCTACTGCAGGTATCAGAGTTTTTAGATAAGCATCTTTTTTTTTTTAAATTTTTTATTTCTAAATCAGAAAAACAAAATTGTATTTATTGCAAAAATATTTTTATTGCAGTCTTGTGTCATTCCTTTGCACGATCTGTTGGTGAGGGAGAAAGGGGACGTCAAGGGTAGCCTGGGCATCTATGTGATCAGTCAGAACCCAGCGGAAATGTATGAGCTTGTGTGTAAGAGTAAGAGGGAGAGAGAGGAGTGGATTCGAATCCTGCAACATGCAATCAAAGCTTGTCGAAGAGATGTAGGATTGAAACCAGCTCAAGCTGCAAGTCATGAAGTAATTTTATCCAAGCCGGTTGATATAAACAGAAAACTGGAAGTTGCCAGTAAAGTGATGAGTATAATCAGTGAGTACATAAAATGATGTCCATATATTTTTCCTCTGTTTTATTGTGTGCTTCAAATTGTAATGTCTTGCCTAACCCTACTGGGCTGACTGACTGACTGACTGACTAAAAGACTTTCAACCTCATCAGAAAAGCAATAAACATCCAGTGACCCAAAGTGCCACCTTTTAAATGAGAATCATGCCGGCGCAAGTGTGGAAATGGGAAGAAGGATTCAGAGTAGTAGTAGTAGATTTTTACCCCACTAGGACATCACACAAGCGATAAACATCCGATGACACAAATGCCACCATGTGGATGAGGATCATCTGTGGAGATGTCCCCAAAACCGCGTTCAGCCATTAGACCATATTTATGGTTGGGCTATATTGCAGCCCCTGGCAAGAGCCGGGATGGGGCTTCAAATAATGAAAAATTTCATCCTATAAAGGACAGCGAATATATTGTAAGGATTCAGAGTCCTTTTCCAAGTCCAAGTCGTTTTGAGAAAAAAAAAAATAAAAGCTCGACCACGTTCAGACTGCTGCTAGCTAGCCTAGGCTGTTAACAGTCTCCGCCTATATTTGTGGTCTGGGTTATTTGCGTCACTTTCGTGACTGAATACTGGTGTTTGTGCCATTTCTGGCTTAATGCTTCCATCCGATTCAAACCGCTCGTCCTGTTGTCACTGGTGCATGTCTTCCTTCTTCATTCTTGGTGTTTCCTGTTTGTTCTGTCTCCCTTTGATCTGGCTAGGCGTATCTCGAAGGAGAGCGAACTTCCAAACACAACGACCTTTCGGCCACCATTTATTGTTTTAAAATTTTGAGTATTTTAATTTTGCCAAAAAGTACTGAAAACAGTTTTTGAATGTGAATAGTTCCGAAATGTGAAAATTTTCCGCGTGTGTGACCATAGTGGTCTCTTATAGTTGTCTTCCTGTAATATGAACGGGTTAGTCATGTAATGGATATGTGTGTGAGAGTTTGTGTGGAGTCTTAAGCGGGTCCAGTCGTCATCTGTTATTATGTGATCGGGTTGTGTTGATAGCTAAGCTCCGGTGTACGTAAATACCATATGACCGGACCGTCCAGCTCACGCTTTGAGATCCAAATGATCGGCGATGAGAATTGTTGTGGCATGTTGGGCAACGAACTCAAGTGCTCTCTGTGGGAATGGGTTGGGGGGTTAAACTCATAGTGCATCCGAAAGAATTAGGGAAAGGTGGGGGGAAGGGGAGCGGGAGGCCATTCAGTCAATTCTCGTCGTTGCCGTCTTGCTGGATTCTAGCGTGGCTTTTTGCCGGGACTATGTGTATCACGTTACCAACCTTTGCTATCATCCCAGTGATGGGGTGGTATTTGAGGTTATGCGTTCTAGTCCTGTCATTATCGAGTCCCTTGTATTCCCTATTTGCTGTCAGTCATATTTTTGTTATGAGTCCTGTCGGTCATGTGCATGTTGTATGCATGCTGTGGAGTGGGATGGTTTTGTTTATGAATCCCCGGAGTATATGGACGCACCCAACTAGGTGTATGCGTACATGCACTCGAGTACTCATACCTGGCAACACAACTACATATTTGTACGTTCTTTCATACTTATCCGTGTATGCATACCTAATTGACATTACGTACACACGCCAACTCTTTCATATGCGTTTACCAATGCCTGTACTTACATTCATAAAAAAACGAGTACATCCACACGTAGTGATATTCACTCTTCCATGTCTTTTCGTCTGGTCGTGTCACTTTTAAGTTATGTCCCGTTACTGGTATGTGACCTGTCCGGTACTGACGTATCATGTTTTGGTGGATGGTGTGCGTTGATGACGTTCTTGCTGTTTACAACCTTCATTCCATTTGTTCTCATTAATGAACAGACATACAGCAACACAGTTTATGGTTTCTTTGATTGCACTGTCATTCGTACACTCACAAATATATAAGTATACACGCTTTCATATATATACACACATGCACACTCATACCCACATATATATGCATACAGTAATACATTTAAATCCATGTACTCATTCATCTGTACCTTTCGCACAACTATATTCCCACTGTTCCGTCCACACGTGATTCCGTACCATCCACCTACATACACTGTGTCTTTTGTATCCATCCTATACACAAATGCACTCATACTACATGCACTCATCCTTGTGTGTGTGTCCATGTTCACATCTATGCACTCATCATACTTACACTATCTCTCTGACTCTAGGATGTCCGGGGTTACCATCTCATCAGTTCCTTCTGTTATACTGAGTAAATCCCTAATCTGGTCTTTTTAGTTTTGATTTGTTTTAATAAGGTATTGTTTAACCAGTTTTTGGATGTCTTTATTGCTATCTACATTTAAACATTTGTTTGCAGGAATTTGTTGTTTGCGTTTTAGAAAAAACTCCTCAATGGGTTTCCTTTCCAATTTATATTTAGTGCGATTCAGAGTTTCAAATCTAAATGTTATAGACGCATTTTACCAATTAGTTATTTAGTACACAAAACTAACGAATATATCACATACAAAATATAAAAATGTGCAGGACATGAGGAGCCTCACATGACAGGGATGAAATGTTACAAGCTAGCTTGCTTTGGGCACGTGGTGAGACATGATTCAGTCACAAAAGACTGTATTTCAAGGAACATTGGGGTATAGATAGTTGTAGAAGAGGAGGACAAAGAAGAATCTTGAATGACAACATCAGTAAATGGACTGGACTAATCGTACACTTGTTCTTTAAGCGGAAGACAGAGAAAGATGGCTGGTTTTGTGTGCTAGAGCCTCCGTCGATACACTTCCATGGCCCTAATGCATCAAGGGTTATGTTATTAGTGATTAGTGATTAATAAGGATTATCATCACAGCACTCCATACAGATCCATAGGTGCTCTGATTTCCTCCTCTGAAAATAAAGTTTGTTTGTTTGTTTGTTCCTCAAAAGCTCCACAAGGGTAAAACAACTGATGACGCCCACTCTGTGTCGGTTAATGAAACATCTTGTCCCCATGGTGATATGTTAATTTCTTGCAGCTCCAGTCTGCCCACCCATTTCCATAAGCCTAGACAGGGATACAGAGTCATGTCCCTTGGCGTGCTCATTGTCATGGTAAGTGCTGCGCATGGCATTGATAAAATCGCTTCTGTCCGGTACTGGACCAGCCATAGCAACCACAATGTCAGCAAGGTAACCTGCACACTCATTCCCTTGAACATCCACATGACCTGGCACAAAGTTGAAGTTTAGGACAGCCATTCGCAAAGTGCTCAGTGGTACAATCCATTCCTGCCTGATGAAACCAGCTTGGATTTTTTAATGCATATTCATAATCTCACTAAGTATACTTGTGTAAACTCTTAAGTATCTTGTTACAGCCATAGTTTCCATTGTAAAATAAAGGCAATTGAGAATGTAATATATTTCTAATCTCTATACAGGTGTAATGTTTTTTTAAATATAAATGAATGTACATTGTGATTTTGAAGGATATATCAGTGAAAATGCTGTTATAGTTATTAGGAAAACAAAACGGAATTTACCAGGTGTTAAATTTAGAAAACCACAATTTTGTAAAATAATTATTCATTTTTTACCTACCATGGTTCTGCAGTCACAAGAGCAATGCATATCCAAATTTGAGAATAAAGTTTGTTCAATTTCCTGTCAAATTCAAAAGTTATGATAAGTTTCTAGGTTAGTTTACCTCTCAGAGGCTTCAGGTTCTTAAGGGCTTTGGAAAAGATAAGAAGAAAAGAATGGCAGAAAAATTGACATATCCACACAAGATATTCACTTTGTAGTTATATACAAACTGTAGTAGTAATTATTTCAGTGCAACTTAGCCACAGAATGGTAGTGTCTGAAACAATTCTTTGGACTGGTCCTCTGTGTCAAAACTCATCAGGACTGCCAGATTTTTAACAACTGACTGCTCTACTGCCATTCATGTAAATTAACCATCTGAATCACTTACAGAAAAAGGAAGTTTTCATTATTAGAATCAGAATTAAAAACATCTGACTGAAACAGTTTCAGAGCTTAAGCTGCAGAAAGGCGCATATTTCTGTCTGTACTTAAACTTTGAACATTTGGTATCCATGGTCATCAAAGACGAAATAGGAAAATTCACTGTCTGAAAATGATGACCGCGATAAATTTGATAATTGTGCACCTAAGTGTGTACACAAAGACTTGTTTAAAAAAAAATTTTTTTAAAGAATACATTAGAGTAACCTTCCCTTATGTTCAAACCATAATTTAACAAATTTAGAACTAGTACAGAATAGTATGTGAATCAATATGTGCAGGACACACGATCGACGCAGGTTGTGTTGTTTGGGCAAATCATAACTTTTCAATCAACACATACAGCATTGCTAGGGCACGAAAGAGTTAATTAGTTTGATATATTGACCCCATTCAGATTTAAGTAATTTTCTTTTTATGATATACTGTTAAAGGAAAGTATTGTCAAATCCAAACATTCTTTTACAGGAATAGAATCTCAAGAAGATCAAGAAAATGAGACCATGATAAATGGAACTAAATCAGACAGTTATTAGAGTTATTTGGATTAGAATTTTAAAGTGGCTTACATTGTCAGAATGTTATAGACAAAACTGTCTGTCATGAATTCAGTGTTCTTTAAGAACACTCCTATATGTAGCTATTGTAGTATAGACTTTCATATGTAGCTATTGTAGTATAGACTTTTATATGTAGCTATTGTAGTATAGACTTTCATGTGTAGCTATTGTAGTATAGACTTTTATGTGTAGCTATTGTAGTATAGACTTTTATATGTAGCTATTGTAGTATAGACTTTCATATGTAGCTATTGTAGTATAGACTTTTATATGTAGCTATTGTAGTATAGACTTTTATATGTAGCTATTGTAGTATAGACTTTCATATGTAGCTATTGTAGTATAGACTTTTATATGTAGCTATTGTAGTATAGACTTTCATATGTAGCTATTGTAGTATAGACTTTTATATGTAGCTATTGTAGTATAGACTTTCATGATTCTATGTTTGTGTTCTCTGTTTTCAGAGGAACTGCATCAGAAGGATGAGGTAATCAGGGAATGCTGCGATGACAAGAACAGACTGATGATGAAATTGTTACAGCTGTCCACAGTCAACAGTGAGGCCAGATCTGTGAGTGAGGCCGGATCTGTGAGTGAGGTCAGATCTGTGAGTGAGGTCAGATTTGTGAGTGAGGTCAGATCTGTGAGTGAGGTCAGATCTGTGAGGCTGGATCTGTGAGTGAGGTCGGATCTGTGAGTGAGGTCAGATCTGTGAGTGAGGCTGGATCTGTGAGTGAGGTCAGATCTGTGAGTGAGGCTGGATCTGTGAGTGAGGCCGAATCTGTGAGTGAGGTCAGATCTGTGAGTGAGGTCAGATCTGTGAGTAAGGCTGAATCTGTGAGTGAGGCTGAATCTGTGAGTGAGGTCAGATCTGTGAGGGAGGTCAGATCTGTGAGTTAGGCTGAATCTGTTAGTAAGGCTGAATCTGTGAGTGAGGCTGAATATTTGAGTGAAGCTGGAACTATGAGTGAGGCTGAATATCTGTGGATCTGTGAGTGAAACTGCATCTGTTTGAAATGGGATTTTTGAGTTAGGCTGTATTTGTGAGTGTGGCTTGATCTCAACTGAGCAGACACAATGAATGATGCAGGATTCATGAGTGAGGCTGTATTTGTGAGTGTGGCTTGATCACAACTGAGCAGACACAATGAATGATACAGGATTCATGAGTGAGGCTGTATTTGTGAGTGTGGCTTGATCACAACTGAGCAGACACAATGAATGATACAGGATTCATGAGTGAGGCTGTATTTGTGAGTGTGGCTTGATCACAACTGAGCAGACACAATGAATGATGCAGGATTCATGAGTGAGGCTGTATTTGTGAGTGTGGCTTGATCACAAACTGAGCAGACACAATGAATGATGCAGGATTCATGAGTGAGGCTGTATTTGTGAGTGTGGCTTGATCACAACTGAGCAGACACAATGAATGATGCAGGATTCATGAGTGAGGCTGTATTTGTGAGTGTGGCTTGATCACAACTGAGCAGACACAATGAATGATGCAGGATTCATGAGTGAGGCTGTATTTGTGAGTGTGGCTTGATCACAACTGAGCAGACACAATGAATGATGCAGGATTCATGAGTGAGGCTGTATTTGTGAGTGTGGGCTTGATCACAACTGAGCAGACACAATGAATGATGCAGGATTCATGAGTGAGGCTGTATTTGTGAGTGTGGCTGATCACAACTGAGCAGACACAATGAATGATGCAGGATTCATGAGTGAGGCTGTATTTGTGAGTGTGGCTTGATCACAAAACTGAGCAGACACAATGAATGATGCAGGATTCATGAGTGAGGCTGTATTTGTGAGTGTGGCTTGATCACAACTGAGCAGACACAATGAATGATGCAGGATTCATGAGTGAGGCTGTATTTGTGAGTGTGGCTTGATCACAACTGAGCAGACACAATGAATGATGCAGGATTCATGAGTGAGGCAAGGTTTGGGAGTATGGCAGGTCAATATCATGCCGGTTGCCTTTACTTTCCAGGACTTTACTCGGTATCCATTCTAGTCTTTGTCAACCTGGAAGCCAATATTATTTTTGAAGAAAAAAAATTGGAATTTTGAACCCACAACCGTTGGACTGGCTGCTTGATAATCTAGACCCTACACCACCCCAATAACCCTTGGGTTAACTGTAAAATTTATTTATTTGATAATCTGGATAATATATCTAAAGAAAAAATAAAGACGTGTTGGATAAGATATATTATGTCTATTGTACCAATTGGATTTTTTTTTTTTAGTACAAAAGTATAAATTTTGGGTTATGGTTTTGCAACAACAGCAAGACAAACATAAATCACACAAGTTTATATCTGCTGAGACAAAATAATGAGATGAGGAAAAGTGGATGGTACTGGACAGGGCACACAGTAAGAAAACCTGAAAGTAGTGTCCTTTCACTGAAACTCACAGGGAAAAAGAGATAGAGTATAATCTAAAAATACATGAAAGTCTGCTGGAAAGAAACAATCTCTAGCCAGCCTCCTCCATGCACTTTCCTACACCCTGGTGTCACTGATACCCTGCACCCATCTTCATGGTGGTCAGCCCCTGCCCATGTTTCTGCTGGTCGGCCCCTGCACCTACTTCCTGGTATCATGCATTTTGATATTATTCTGTGCAATCTGCAATGGCGCTTAATATGGCCAAAATATTTCAGCTTCTGAGATGAGATTCTGTTGACTAGGCATCCTCCTTGATGTTCAGATCTTTTAAAATGTCAGTGTTTTTTCTCTGCTTGATCAGTGGTATTCTGAGAATCCTTCTGTAGCATTTCAGCTCAAAAACCATTATTTTCTTCCTTAAGGACCGGGAGATAGTCCACGACTCACATCTGTATATTACTACAGGAAAGATGCATGCTCTCAAAATGTTTTCTTTGATTTCGTTACTGGTTAGTTAATTAATTAGTCGACAGATTATCCTCATTGCACGTCGAACCACTCAGTTCATAAGTGCTCCGATTCTGTCCTCAGAAAATCCCGCAGCGCATAGTGGCTGACGACACCAGTTCTGTGTGGGTTTATTATTATTCTGTGACTACCCTCCCACGTAGTGTTCTTGTTTGGTGACACCCCGTTTAACATGTTGTTCTTGCAGTCTGACCATGGTTGCAGATTCACAGTTCTCATGTACCCCCATATGTCCTGGCACAAAAATGAAACTAATCCTTATCAGCAGTGAATTCTGCTCAATGATAGACATTAAAACCTGTTTAATCTTGGCATTGCTATGGCCATCTTCCTCTCGGCTTCTCTTGAACTGTAGAAGAAGAATATGTGCACAAAATGCAGACTTTTGCATTTATAGACTGCTTTTTTTATGTTAATATGCACTTATAATTTTGTTTGCTAACATTGAATTTCAGGCATTTAGAATATTGCCTCATTTGAAATTTTTTTTTTTAAATCTGCAGCGACCCAGTTCTCAGGAGATAGATGGTTTGAACGAATCAGTGGAAATTGTGCTCGCTGCCATGCAGGAAGGTAGGTCCCAGTGCATATTTGCAGGTTGTTATTTCAGGGGAGAATTCCTGTAGTGCATATTTGCAGGTTGTTATTTCAGGGGAGAATTCCTGTTGCAGTTTCATTCCTCTACTTCTGTAAAAGGTTGGGCCTCCAGGAGGCATTTCTGAACATGTTTTAGATAATTAATACACAACCTGCACGTGTGTACATGTGTGTGTATGTGTGTGAACGCATGTGAAGACATTAATATATAGAATACAATGAGACTATAGTGTACATCTGTACTTCTAAAGGGAAATAAATCAAGTAAAACTGTAACGCACTAAGTACAAGAGGGTAAAGTATAGAGTACAAATAATTTTTGTTGTTGCAATTGTTAAATAGTTGCCTCTTAATTTAGTTCTAATTATATGTTATTATGTCAGCATATGAAGCAGAAGAATGATATGCTCTCCCCTTATTTTTGAGCAGTGGATCAGTTGTCTGTCCCTGTCAGATTAGCACACACATCTCAGAGGACACACGTGTACATTGAACACTTTTTTTCAAACCACTGTAGTTGGTAATCTGAAGGCTGAACAGGTTACTGCCCAGGCTAGATTTCAGAACTGGACAAAGAAGAAAACAGTTTTTGTTTCTTGTGTGCAGACACACAGAACCTTCCTGGTGTCCCAGAATTAGTGCACGCTGTGAGATTATCCTTGTGTTATCTAAGGACTATTGAATGTAAAATCTGGCTAGAAAAACCCTGATGGCCAAAATATGCAGGGGTTAGTTCTGCCATGTCCTGTACAGGATACACAACTAACTGGCTATGGGAGGGGGAGGGGACTGGAGGAGACACCTGGGTGTGATCTGTGGGAGGAGACTGCAGGAGATACCTGGGTTTGATCTGTGGGAGGAGACTGGAGGAGATATCTGGGTGTGATCTGTGGGAGGAGACTGGAGGAGATATCTGGGTGTGATCTGTGGGAGAAAACTGGAGGAGATATCTGGGTGTGATCTGTGGGAGGAGACTGGAGGAGATATCTGGGTGTGATTTGTGGGAGAAAACTGGAGGAGATATCTGGGTGTGATCTGTAGGAGGAAACTGGAGGTGATTTGTGGGAGAAAACTGGAGGAGATATCTGGGTGTGATCTGTGGGAGGAAACTGGAGGAGATATCTGGGTGTGATCTGTGGGAGGAGACTGGAGGCGATATCTGGGTGTGATCTGTGGGAGGAGACTGGAGGAGATATCTGGGTGTGATCTGTGGTAGGAGACTGCAGGAGATACCTGTGTGTGATCTGTGGGAGGATACTGGAGGAGATATCTGGGTGTGATCTGTGGGAGGGAACTGGAGGAGATATCTGGGTGTGATCTGTGGGAGGAGACTGGAGGAGATATCTAGGTGTGATCTGTGGGAGGAGACTGGAGGAGATATCTGTGTGTCATCTGTGGGAGGAGACTGGAGGAGATATCTGGGTGTGATCTGTGGGAGGAGACTGGAGGAGATATCTGCTTGTGATTTGTGGGAGGAGACTGGAGGAGATATCTGCTTGTGATTTGTGGGAGGAGACTGGAGGAGATATCTGGGTGTGATCTGTGGGAGGAGACTGGAGGAGATATCTGGGTGTGATCTGTGGGAGGAGACTGGAGGAGATATCTGTGTGTCATCTGTGGGAGGAGACTGGAGGAGATATCTGGGTGTGATCTGTGGGAGGAGACTGGAGGAGACACACACACACACACACAGACACACACACACACACACACACATGTGAACAACTATGTGTCATTGTCATCTGCGTGAAACAACATCTGCTGAATTTACTAAGCCGATTTTTACAGAATCAGTCCACTGAACTGTGGCTAAGAAGCTTAAGGAAAAGGGGGAAGAGAAACAACGTAGATGTACAACACATCCAGATGTTTCAACCGGAGCCTCTCTCGTTACAGACCACAGCAACAACAAAGGGAATGATTACCTGGGCTCTCGGTTCCCTCACAGGAAGATTCACTTCAACTAGAACATTAAGAAGAGGAAAAGACATGGACAAAATAATTTTAAAAAAAAAAAAGAAGCATAACAGTAATAATAATAATAATAATAATAATAATAAAAGAGGAGTAAAAGGAGTAATAGTCACAGCAGTGGTGGGCATATCCTTAACAATAATGTCACTGGTGATAATGATAGTAGTAGAAATAACAAAATTAGTGATCCATAAATAGTAACAACAAGAGACGGAGATGTATTGGTTTGTGGGTTTTCTTTCCAATATCTAAAGATATTAACAGAACCAATCTGTTAGCTTCCTGCCAGTTTTCCCAATAAATGCCTGGCTGCATCTTTTACAGATTATAGCATAAATTAAGCTGCAGGATTTGAACGTAAATGCTTCCTTAATTTCGAAAGAACTATTTGGGAAACTCGCCAGTGAGGTATAGATAACAAATGATGGACATGTTTTGCACTTACTGCAGGGTCATTCAGTAGTCCCGAAAAGAAGTGCTTTGTGGATTGGCAGGAATCAGCTTCTGATGGTTCATATCCCTAGGCTGTTTATGACTTTATTCTTGTCTGCAATCTAGTGTGTGCTGTGATATTTCAAGAACACCATTTAGTTTACTTATTTATTGTCTTTTTTATTAGCCTCTCGACTGATGGGCATACTCCAGAATACAGACTCCAACATGGGTCGGAGTATCAGTGTTGGTGAAGCCCGCACTGAAGACCATGTGACCACATCTATACCCAGACGGTCTGAGACCTTCTCTGGCTTTGACAGCAGCCGTGGCACATCTAAAAGTAAGCATCAGATTAATTAATTTGCTCATGAAAAAGTAGGCATCAATCAGATTAGCTCATATAAAACTAGCCCTTACTTTATCGAGATAATAAAGAAGAAGGAAAGCTATTTATCACGGTTGATAATTTGGTGTATAGTGATATAAAGTTTTTTGTCTAAATTATCATTATTTGTCGCTTTCTTTATAATTGTATTCTTCACTTCTTGTCACCAAGGTCACCAAGGTCACCAAACCATGTTTTACACTGATCAAGACAATATTATCATCTTCATGGCATCCTGGCATATCCAGGAACTGAAGTCTGGCAAATATTCTCTCCTGACATATCCAGGACCTGAAGTCTGGCAAATATTCTCTCCTGGCATATCCAGGAACTGAAGTCTGGCAAATATTCTCTGTGCCTTTCTATTTTTCAGAGGAAAGGGAGAGTATTGTAGTTTCAGTTAAAGACAAATTTTGGTACTAATTTGGGAGGAAATTTTGATGCTCTTTTCAACCTGTCAACTTGACCATCAGGCAGTCTGAGTTATGATTCCATCTTCCAAGAATTCTGCAACCAACCAGCCAAATAATAAACTTTAAATGCCTTGTATGTGTTAGATTCTTTATTAACAGTAAACAGTGATGCAAAAGTGTTGAAATTAGTTCTGAAAAAAATCAAGTTTTCAACTAGTTATTCAATATTGTAACTGTAATTTGTTTGTGTGTGATTTATCCTCTAGCACTCGTTCGCAACCAGAGTAACGCCAGCAGTGAAACTGACAAAATACTGACACATATATCACACTCAAGACAAGAAGTGAATGACAGACGTTACTCTGATACACCAGACACCATTTTAGTATCAAAGGTATTTATTCTTCTTTCTCTTCTTCATCTCCACCTGCTCTTGCTCCTTCTATCTCTCTTCCTCTTCTTCTTCTTTTCCTTCAGATACCTCAACAAAGTATTGGTAGGAGGGGGGGGGGGGGGTAAAGGGGATGTAATGATCATCTGTTGTCTTGTTAATGAGTTGCGCAAGAAAAAGAAGAGAGTCTAGAAGTCAAATTTCTGGGAGGTTATAAATGAGAATTGGGGTACACCAAAATATAGCTTTATTGAACATACATGCATAGATCTATCAGTACAGGCATATGGTGAACTTAACTCTTCTCTGGCTGCAGACGATAAGGATGGAGCCATTATTGGAGTCCCTCAAGTTTTGTGAATGTTGCTTTAATTTAACTCAGCTCAGCTTATTTCGGACGAATCACTACAGACTTGTACAGATCTGTAAATGCAGATATACAAGGAGCTAGTATGAATGATGCAAGACAGACAAATGTGAAATAGAATGAAATGGTCAGAAAGCTTTATAGCAAGCCCAAAGGCTGGTATAATTAATAATGATAATTTCCCATGTGGGTTCTGGGGTCCTATTATAGGGAAAACAAGAATAGACCACTGCATACCCATGAGCATGTTGTCGTAAGAGTCGACTAATTGGAAGCTTCCTTCGAAGTCAGAGTGCATCTGCCTGAGAGGCAAGGAACCAACAGTCTGCATACAAATTAGTCAGATCTGTAAAACAGATGCACACCCAACACTCAGGTTCTGGAACAGGACTGCAGTCCAGAAGTGGATGAACAACCAGAACTTTCTGCCAGAGTTTACAGCTGGTGAACGCAAAGAAGAAGAAGAAGATTATCACCACCAGACCTGAGGCCCTGAACCTAACTGTCTCCTATACCTGAGCTTCTGGGCATTAACGTGAAAAAAACCAGCATGATATACAAAAATGTTAGTTACATGCAAACAAGTGGCTAGAATAAGATGAAACTTGGAGACATTGTAAAAAATAGGTTTACCTTTTATCTAGCACCAATATTCCATCTTTGTATGCCAATCCACCTAGTAGGATCAACCTTTTTCACAAAGTGATCACCAGGTGTTGCTGTTTGAGGGACATGCCTCCTTCTCCTACTTTCGATCTATTTCTAGATTTATAATTTTCAGGATTCTCCTCATCATTCCAGCTCTCACGGACTGTGTCACTTCAACTGGGAACGTATTCTCCATGAAATTATGACTCCACATAGTCTGAGACATCTGAGAAGACTATCCACGAGATCTGATTATGATTGGCTAGTTATTTTTAGTTTGTGATGCATTGTTTTCTAATAGTATGCAAATTCCCAACATTAAAGGACAGCTGTTAAGCGACAGATTAGGAAATTCCCATAATAGTGAGCCAGAGGTCTGGTAGAGTTATGATGAGTCATAATAATGACATGTAATTATTTTAATTTAAAAAAATAAAAAAACAGCAATCATTAAACTACATTAACGTGGCTGGTGTTTGATTTTTGCAAATTTCCTTTTGTAGTACGAAAACGGAAGCCAGTCCTTGGAGAAGCAGGTCAGCTGTGACACGTCTAGCGAGCACGGCTCAGTGGATGAGTTGTCAGCAGCAAATATATTGTCTCTCATTGGTTCACCACCGGTTCATGATCAGATGGCATCAGTGTTTCAGCTGGTGCAGTACCTTAATTCTCTAATGGTAAATATTAAAGTGTACTTATTTCCCTAAGTAAATGTCAGTCCCATTTATAAGATGTATGTTTATGTATGTATGTATGTATGTTGTACCCCACTAGGACATCACACAAGCGATAAACACCCGATGAGGATCACCTGTGGAGAGGTCCCGGAAACCGAGTTCAGCCATTAGACCATATTTATGGCCGGGCTATATTGCAGTCCCTGGCAAGAGCCAGGGTGGGGCTTCAAATAACGAAAAATTACATCTCTCACAGTTTATAATTTAAAACAATATATGTTGATTTTAAAACCCAGAATTTTTAGGAAAAACAATACGATTACATAAAGTTTTAAATTCATATTTTTTTTACCATAGAATCCAGACAACTAACAATATGAGAGTTGTTTTTAGCTTGTCTATATCTGTGTCTGATAAAAAATCCTATTATCTTCCATTTTATGTGACCAAACAAGTGTAAGAATTATCTCCCATTTTATGTGACCAAACAAGTGTAAGAATTATCTCCCATTTTATGTGACCAAACAAGTGTAAGAATTATCTCCCATTTTAGGTGACTGAACAAGTGTGAGAATTATCTCCCATTTTGTGTGACTGAACAAGTGTGAAAATTATCTCCCATTTTATATGACTGAACAAGTGTAAGAATTATCTCCCATTTTAGGTGGCTGAACAAGTGTGAGAATTATCTCCCATTTTATATGACTGAACAAGTGTGAGAATTATCTCCCATTTTAGGTGGCTGAACAAGTGTGAGAATTATCTCCCATTTTATATGACTGAACAAGTGTGAGAATTATCTCCCATTTTGTATGACTAAACAAGTGTGAGAATTATCTCCCATTTTATATGACTGAACAAGTGTGAGAATTATCTCCCATTTTGTGTGACTGAACAAGTGTGAGAATTATCTCCCATTTTAGGTGACTGAACAAGTGTGAGAATTATCTCCCATTTTGTGTGACTAAACAAGTGTGAGAATTATCTCCCATTTTGTGTGACTGAACAAGTGTGAAAATTATCTCCCATTTTATATGACTGAACAAGTGTGAGAATTATCTCCCATTTTATATGACTAAACAAGTGTGAGAATTATCTCCCATTTTATATGACTGAACAAGTGTGAGAATTATCTCCCATTTAATGGGACTGAACAAGTGTGAGAATTATCTCACATTTTATATGACTGAACAAGTGTGAGAATTATCTCACATTTTAGGTGACTGAACAAGTGTGAGAATTATCTCCCATTTTGTGTGACTAAACAAGTGTGAGAATTATCTCCCATTTTATATGACTGAGCAAGTGTGAGAATTATCTCCCATTTTATATGACTAAACAAGTGTGAGAATTATCTCCCATTTTATATGACTAAACAAGTGTGAGAATTATCTCCCATTTTATATGACTGAACAAGTGTGAGAATTATCTCCCATTTTATATGACTGAACAAGTGTGAGAATTATCTCCCATTTTATATGACTAAACAAGTGTGAGAATTATCTCCCATTTTATATGACTAAACAAGTGTGAGAATTATCTCCCATTTTATATGACTGAACAAGTGTGAGAATTATCTCCCATTTTATATGACTGAACAAGTGTGAGAATTATCTCCCATTTAATGGGACTGAACAAGTGTGAGAATTATCTCACATTTTAGGTGGCTGAACAAGTGTGAGAGTTAACTCACATTAAGGGTAGCAAGGATTGGTATGTACAGGTCCAACCTGTAGATTTATAGCCCAAACTGATCAAAATGATAGGAAGCTTTATGCTTTTTTTTCAGTCGTCTCCTTGTGAGATGCAATTTTTCTTATTTGAAACCCTACTCTGGCTTATACCAGGGGCTGCAATACAGCCAGGCCCAAAAGATGGCATAGTGGCTGAATGCAGTTTCTGGGACCGCTCCACAATAATCCTCATTCACATGGTGGCACGTTGTGTCATCAGGTGTTTATCACTTGTGCGGTGTCCTAGTGAGGTAAAAATCTACTACTACTAATTCGCTTAGAGATAATCTGTCTAATACTATAAATGATAATTATTTCCAGGATATCATTAGGGTGGAGGATATAAAATATGTATTGCAAAAAGCAAAAGACACTTCGCTGGGGCATGAAGAACATGAGTGATGAAGACTTAAGGGAGATGGCATTTCACTTTAACCAGAGCGTCAGTACCCCAAGATTTGGTGCACAGTTATCTGACCTCCCTTCCGAAACCAGGCAAAGATCATTCCAGACTCAGCGGCTTCAGCATTATCACCCTACAAAATACTTTTGGCAAGGTGTTTGAGAAGATTATTGCTGTTAAACTACAAATGTTTTTGGAAAGGGAAGAGGTCCTGCCGAAAGGTTTGGGAAGTTACCAGTCACAGAAAGACACATGGTCAAACGCAGCTACTTTTGCATTTGATGTTTATGAACGGTTCCAGAACAGACAGGAGACAGTTGTGGCAGCACTTGAACTTGAGGATGCCTACAATAGTCAGATATAATATTTTGGTATCTGCTCTTATGGAGAAGAGGGTTTTTCCCTAGCCCGGGGACTACACCTTGGTTCTGCAGTTTCACTGGTGCTCTTTAATGTGCATACAAACAAGATTGCAGAATTTGAAGCACCAGGTGTTGGAAGGATATTGACATCTGCTGATGTAGTTCTTGCACATCGGCAGGGGAGAGATAGACAGCTGATAGCCCAAGAGCTACAGGCAACTGTAGACAAAGTGACTGGCTCGTGTGCAGAAATTAATGTTGTCATAATTTCAGAAAAGGCGGCTGTTTTGTGGTGCTCTCTGGACAATAGAATTGTGAGAGCTGATGTTCTAAGCCTCACAGTTAATAACAGTAACATCAAAAGAGAAAACAAACCAAAAACCTGGGTATCACTTTCGGTAAAAGCCTGTTTTATAGGGATCATGTGGAGGCTCAATGCTCTCAAGATTATGGCAGCAATGGACATGGAACAAAGAATGCTGTTTACAGTGTTCGAGCATGTGATCCTGTCGGCGATAGATTATGGACTTGGAATACCATATCAAAGAAACTTGAACGCATACAGAAGGAAGCCATGTGGGTAATTCCGGTAGTATGTATGTGTTATATACTTGCACTGCCAACTAATGCAGACAGGCTCAAAGTTCTGCAGGCAAAGTTATTTCTCAGAGTAGCTGCAGACAAGAAACCTCCTGGATGAAGCCCTGGGTAGAGCTAAGGGTCACAGACTGAAAAGAGAAAGAGGTCTTGGATGGCGCAAGCTGAAGACACAATTGGACATGTGTGCAGGCTTGATAAATTTAGACGAGGAGAGGAGTGGGTTAAGGTGTCCGAACAAGCATTGGAAAACTGTATGCAGATCATTAGTATGTCGCGAGAGACATTAGCATGTCTAGAAGAATTCCATGCAGATCATTAGTATGTCTAAAAGAATTGTCTGTGGATCTTTAGTATGTCCAAAACCAGTTATATGTAGGTCATTAGTGTGTCTAGGGTTGTTGTATGTAGCTCATTAGTCTGTAGAAGATGCATATAGTTTATGCACAAACGTTTATCCTATTAATGTGGTTTATACATTCAAGAATAATGCCATTAAAAATTGTCTGTACTAATTGCTATGTTCAGATTATATGAGATGTTAATTTGAAACTTGTTTGTTCTAGAATATCACAGGCAGACAGTGCACAATGGTGGAAAGTCTCAGAGCTGAACTGGAAGGGGCCAAGGCTTATACATTCAAGAATAATGCCATTAAAAATTGTCTGTACTAATTGCTATGTTCAGATTATACGAGATGTTAATTTGAAACTTGTTTGTTCTAGAATATCACAAGCAGACAGTGCACAATGGTGGAAAGTCTTCGAGCTGAACTGGAAGGAGCCAAGGAAGAAATATCTAGACTTTCAGCAGACGTGCACAGCCGTCAGTCAACGCTGTATCGCCATGATCAGATGGAAGAGCTCAGACAGTTACAGGGAAACTTAACTCTGGAGAAACAAGAGTGGGAGAAAAGAAAACTTTATGACTGCTCACGCCTGCAGAGAGAAAGAGAAAACTTAGAAACTGAACGAAGACACATTGAGAAAGACAGGGTATGTGTGTTTGATTTTGTTCTTTGTGCAATAATCCCAACATTGACATGAAAATCTTCTTCTTCTTTATGTTCACCAGCTCCAGTGGAAAGTTCTAGATGTTTGTCGACCTCCAGGAATTTTGTCTTTTCCAGTACCTGAGTGTTGCATGCCCATCTATTTTACAGATCTGGCTTGTTTGCAGACTGTTGGTTCCTTGCATCTGAGGCAGATATACTCCAACTTGGAAGGAAGCCACCAGTTAGTTGACTTCAACGACATGCTTTTTTTGGGGAGGTAGTGGGTCTAGTCTTGTACACCCCCCCCCCCTCTTTAGCAGTGGAGCCGTATAATGCACACAGGGAGACAGGAATATAAGTAATGCTTTATGGTAGCATATTTACTGTAGCTGTCAGTGTACTAACACGCCTAATACTGCCAGTAGTTAAAACACAAAGAACACGGTGCTATATTGGGCACATCCCAAGAACAAGCCAGCAGTTAAAAGACAAAGAACACAGTGCTATATTGGGCACATCGCAAGAACAAGCCAGCAGTTAAAACACAAAGAACATGGCGCTGAATTAGGCACATCCCAAGAACAAGCCAGCAGTTAAAACACAAAGAACACAGTGCTATATTGGGCACATCCCAAGAACAAGCCAGCAGTTAAAACACAAAGAACACGGTGCTATATTGGGCACATTCCAAGAACAAGCCAGCAGTTAAAACACAAAGAACACGGTGCTATATTGGGCACATCCCAAGAACAAGCCAGCAGTTAAAACACAAAGAACACGGTGCTATATTGGGCACATCCCAAGAACAAGCCAGCAGAGAATCATGAAAAAGGCACTAAAATAAGAAGAAAAAAAAACGGATAGGGAAAATAAGAATGTTCAAGTGAAACTCAAGACAAATACTGATGAGAAAGGTCAAAGGTGATGGACTGGACTGTTCCAAAAGACTGCACAGGGTAGAAAGGAGTGGAAGAAGTGACTGTGAGCCCTGTGTGACACCACTGGACTGAAGTGACTGTGAGCCCTGTGTGACACTACTGGACTGAAGTGACTGTGAGCCCTGTGTGACACTACTGGACTGAAGTGACTGTGAGCCCTGTGTGACACTACTGGACTGCAGTGACTGGGAGCCCTGTGTGACACTACTGGACTGCAGAGACTGGAAGCCCAGTGTGACACTACTGGACTGCAGTGACTGGGAGCCCTGTGTGACACTACTGGACTGAAGTGACTGTGAACCCTGTGGGACACTACTGAACTGCAGTAACTGTGAGCCATGTGTGACACCACTGGACTGAAGTGACTGTGAGCCCTGTGTGACACTACTGGACTGAAGTGACTGTGAGCCCTGTGTGACACTACTGGACTGAAGTGACTGTGAGCCCTGTGTGACACTACTGGAATGAAGTGACTGTGAGCCCTGTGTGACACCACTGGACTAAAGTGACTGTGAGCCCTGTATGACACCACTGGACTGAAGTGACTGTGAGCCCTGTGTGACACCACTTGACTGAAGTGAATGTGAGCCCTGTGTGACACTACTGGACTGAAGAGACTGTGAGCCCTGTGTGACACTACTGGACTGAAGTGACTGTAAGCCCTGTGTGACACTACTGGACTGAAGAGACTGTGAGCCCTGTGTGACACCACTGGACTGAAGTGACTGTGAGCCCTGTGTGACACTACTGGACTGAAGTGACTGTGAGCCCTGTGTGACACCACTTGACTGAAGTGACTGTAAGCCCTGTGTGACACTACTGGACTGAAGTGACTGTGAGCCATGTGTGACACTACTGGACTGAAGTGACTGTGAGCCCTGTGTGACACCTCTGGACTGAAGTGACTGTGAGCCCTGTGTGACACTACTGGACTGAAGTGACTGTGAGCCCTGTGTGACACCACTGGACTGAAGTGACTGTGAGCCCTGTGTGACAACACTGGACTGAAGTGACTGTGAGCCCTGTGTGACACCACTGGACTGAAGTGACTGTGAGCCCTGTGTGACACCACTGGACTGAAGTGACTGTGAGCCCTGTGTGACACTACTGGACTGAAGTGACTGTGAGCCATGTGTGACACTACTGGACTGAAGTGATTGTGAGCCCTGTGTGACACTACTAGACTAAAGTGACTGTGAGCCCTGTGTGACACCACTGGACTGAAGTGACTGTGAGCCCTGTGTGACAACACTGGACTGAAGTGACTGTGAGCCCTGTGTGACACCACTGGACTGAAGGGACTGTGAGCCCTGTGTGACACCACTGGACTGAAGGGACTGTGAGCCCTGTGTGACACTACTGGACTGAAGTGACTGTGAGCCCTGTGTGACACTACTGGACTGAAGTAACTGTTAGCCCTGTGTGACACTACTGGACTGAAGTGACTGTGAGCCCTGTGTGACACTACTGGACTGAAGTGACTGTGAGCCCTGTGAGACAACACTGGACTGAAGTGACCTGGAGCCCTGTGTGACACTACTGGACTGAAGTGACTGTGAGCCCTGTGTGACACTACTGGACTGAAGTGACTGTGAGCCCTGTGTGACACTACTGGACTGAAGTGACTGTGAGCCCTGTGTGACAACACTGGACTGAAGTGACTGTGAGCCCTGTGTGACAACACTGGACTGAAGTGACTGTGAGCCCTGTGTGACACCACTGGACTGAAGTGACTGTGAGCCCTGTGTGACAACACTGGACTGAAGTGACTGTGAGCCCTGTGTGACACCACTGGACTGAAGGGACTGTGAGCCCTGTGTGACACCACTGGACTGAAGGGACTGTGAGCCCTGTGTGACACTACTGGACTGAAGTGACTGTGAGCCCTGTGTGACACTACTGGACTGAAGTAACTGTTAGCCCTGTGTGACACTACTGGACTGAAGTGACTGTGAGCCCTGTGTGACACTACTGGACTGAAGTGACTGTGAGCCCTGTGAGACAACACTGGACTGAAGTGACCTGGAGCCCTGTGTGACACTACTGGACTGAAGTGACTGTGAGCCCTGTGTGACACTACTGGACTGAAGTGACTGTGAGCTCTGTGTGACATCACTGGACTGAAGTGACTGTGAGCCCTGTGTGACACTACTGGACTGAAGTGACTGTGAGCCCTGTGTGACACTACTGGACTGAAGTGACTGTGAGCCCTGTGTGACACTACTGGACTGAAGTGACTGTGAGCCCTGTGTGACAACACTGGACTGAAGTGACTGTGAGCCCTGTGTGACAACACTGGACTGAAGTGACTGTGAGCCCTGTGTGACACTACTGGACTGAAGTGACTGTGAGCCCTGTGTGACACTACTGGACTGAAGTGACTGTGAGCCCTGTGTGACAACACTGGACTGAAGTGACTGTGAGCCCTGTGTGACACTACTGGACTGAAGTGACTGTGAGCCCTGTGTGACACTACTGGACTGAAGTGACTGTGAGCCCTGTGTGACAACACTGGACTGAAGTGACTGTGAGCCCTGTGTGACACTACTGGACTGAAGTGACTGTGAGCCCTGTGTGACAACACTGGACTGAAGTGACTGTGAGCCCTGTGTGACACTACTGGACTGAAGTGACTGTGAGCCCTGTGTGACAACACTGGACTGAAGTGACTGTGAGCCCTGTGTGACAACACTGGACTGAAGTGACTGTGAGCCCTGTGTGACACCACTGGACTGAAGTGACTGTTACCCTTGTGTGACACTACTGGACTGAAGTGACTGTGAGCCATGTGTGACAACACTGGACTGAAGTGACTGTTACCCTTGTGTGACACTACTGGACTGAAGTGACTGTGAGCCCTGTGTGACACCACTGGACTGAAGTGACTGTGAGCCCTGACACTACTGGACTGAAGTGACTGTGAGCCATGTGTGACAACACTGGACTGAAGTGACTGTTACCCTTGTGTGACACCACTGGACTGAAGTGACTGTTAGCCCTGTGTGACACCACTGGACTGAAGTGACTGTGAGCCCTGTGTGACACTACTGGACTGAAGTGACTGTGAGCCCTGACACTACTGGACTGAAGTGACTGTGAGCCATGTGTGACAACACTGGACTGAAGTGACTGTTACCCTTGTGTGACACTACTGGACTGAAGTGACTGTGAGCCCTGTGTGACACCACTGGACTGAAGTGACTGTGAGCCCTGTGTGACAACACTGGACTGAAGTGACTGTGAGCCCTGTGTGACACCACTGGACTGAAGTGACTGTGAGCCCTGTGTGACAACACTGGACTGAAGTGACTGTGAGCCCTGTGTGACAACACTGGACTGAAGTGACTGTGAGCCCTGTGTGACAACACTGGACTGAAGTGACTGTTACCCTTGTGTGACACTACTGGACTGAAGTGACTGTGAGCCATGTGTGACAACACTGGACTGAAGTGACTGTTACCCTTGTGTGACACTACTGGACTGAAGTGACTGTGAGCCCTGTGTGACACCACTGGACTGAAGTGACTGTGAGCCCTGACACTACTGGACTGAAGTGACTGTGAGCCATGTGTGACAACACTGGACTGAAGTGACTGTTACCCTTGTGTGACACCACTGGACTGAAGTGACTGTTAGCCTTGTGTGACACCACTGGACTGAAGTGACTGTGAGCCTTGTGTGACAACACTGGACTGAAGTGACTGTTACCCTTGTGTGACACCACTGGACTGAAGTGACTGTGAGCCTTGTGTGACAACACTGGACTGAAGTGACTGTGAGCCTTGTGTGACAACACTGGACTGAAGTGACTGTGAGCCCTGTGTGACAACACTGGACTGAAGTGACTGTGAGCCCTGTGTGACAACACTGGACAATGATGATGATGATGATGTCACTGTTATGTTAATGTTAATATTTCAAAGCAGATTAAAGCTAGATTTAAACTTTACAAGGGAAATTAGGACATGTCCATTTCTGATGATTGTTTCTGTTAATCATCATCATCATCATTTCTTCATCACCATGATCAACCACTTCTGCCATTAAACCACCTGGGGAGGAATAATTTGCGATCCAGTGCCTGCTGGCTGCCATTGGCTATTGTCATGCCGAGAAGGCGTAGAGTGTCTTTAATGTTGTTGATCCATCATTTCTGTGGCCGTCTTCTTGCTCTTGTAGCTGATCCTCTGAGATGTTTTGCTTGTGATGGTATTTGATCTCTCTGCATTATGTTATGGCTAGACCTCTTGATCTGTTGTTTCTTGATGAATCTAATACAAAATGTCGTTTGCACAATCTGTCTGACAGTTTCATTATTCATTCATCCTGGATGGTTAGGTTGGCAGCTTTTCTCAGGCATCTCATCTCACAAGTAGTAATTTTGCGTACATGGGTTTTAGATAGTGTCCATGTTTGGCACTGGTTGCTTTATGTTAGAATGAATGTGCTATTTATTATTCATCATAGTTATGTTTGGATGTCTTAATAATGTCGACAGTTGGTATATAAGTGCACTTGTTTTCTGACATGTGTGTTAATGTGTAATAAACAATATTTTCTGCACTTTTGATATTGAAAATGTAACATCATCCTCGAAACAAAGAGCAGAATTTTTAAACAGGCCAGAATGCTCAGTTTTTAAGCTATTTAAAACACATTTCATCTGCTCTTTAGTTTTGATCTGTGGGAGTCGGCTTCTGACAAGTATGTCTTTAAGGTTGCAGTCTAATCTATAAACGAATCTCAGTTTCTCACTAAAGATCATCCTTGTGTCCAGATCAGAGTAGAGGATTTCCAAATGGCAAAAAAATACTTTGGAAGCAACCACATTGTTAGGGTGAAAAGTTAATCAGGGTGGGACTTTGAAATAACAAACAAATTGCATCCCATATTGGGATAGGGTTAATGAATGTCCAACATTGAAAAGAGGGATTTGGAATAAGTATACGATTACTATTTTGGCTGTCTGAAAGTTTGAATAATGGTAAGAAAAAGTGATTTTATTATTGTAGCATTATTGATTACATTTACAGTGAAAGCTTTCATTTACAGTGAAAGCTTACATTTACAGTGAAAGCTTACATTTACAGTGAAAGCTTACATTTACAGTGAAAGCACACTGTCATTGAGAATGTTTATTTTATGTTTTATTTGTTCTAGATGAACCTGAGAAATGATCAGGAAGCTCTCAAGAGGGAGCAAGATTTGTTGCATAATGAGTTCAACAGAATGAAAGAACAACATTTGCGAGTATCCAGAACTTTTGACAACAGATTTAACGGCAGTGACTTAGAAAATATAGATAGAGGCCAGCCAATGTTGCAACAGAGACATCTGGGTCATCGCAGGTCAGCCTCAGATGCTAGGTATGACACAGTAACTGTTCAAGCTTCTGAAAGTTATTCCCCTTACGCGTGGGTCAGAGCAGATGAATTTCCATATGAACCCCTTGAGTCAGTTGATAGTGGAGAGGATTATGTCCCTTCTTCAGTAAGGCAAGACAGTTTTCCCTTCTATGTTGAAGAAGGAATGGCGGGTGGTGTCAGCCATCAGAGTTTGCCGTTGAAGACTGATGACATTCCATTCCCGAATCCAGAGTCAGCTGCGGTTCCTGCGTATGTGCCATCTAGTTCATTTAGTCGACAGAACTCCACTAGGTTGTCACGTGTTCAGTCATTGTCTACAGTTTCCCGTATTGCATTCAGGCAGAACAAGAAGGACAGCAAGGGATCTTCTCAGAAGGACAAGTTTTATGAACAAACAAGAAAATCATAATCATCAACACAAAGTTTTATATCACATACAGAATTCCTTGTGGTTCACGCCCTGGGGTAGGCAGAAAAGCCACATTTCTCACAGATTTACGGTATCTATCATGGAATCAAGGCAGAAGGGTTGCAATATCCAAAGTACCGACCCAATTGGTTAACAACTTATGGTTTCTAGATATTTAGAAAAATAAAATATCACCTACAACCCAGTAACGCTTCAGTGGCTTCACTGACTTTCATGAAGATTCTGAGGCAAAATTTAAGATATTGTTTACAAAAAAAAAAAACATGGTTATTAATAATGCATCATCAGGAAAGCCCTTACCACCAAAAACTATTGATGACCCAGATGGAGAAGAAAGCTTTCGATTGGTTGAGCCCTAATGTATTCTTGTGTGCAATTTGAATAATTTCAGTCATTAAATTACAGAGATTCTTAATGTCCAAATTATGACAAAATTATTTTCTTGTCAGTAGCTCTGAGTTTCTTCTTTGAGTAGTGATGCATGTTGGATAACTATGTGTTTATTTTTGATGTTTTTTAATGGTAAGGTTGGGCAGTAACCTCTCATTGTGCACATGGTGGGTAATCACTAATTACTTTTGTGTTCTAATTCTAAAATACGTTTCTATCAACTGTTTAATGTATTTTTGTTTAATACAGACCGTCTGTACTCAGTTTTGCAGATTATGTTTAGCTGTTGAACTTTTAAGAGAGGAATTTTTTCGAGACACTCTATCAAGCAGTAGTGTAAATGTAGAGCTGAATTACTTCACAGGACCCACACGCAAGCACATGCAATGCGCATACACACACACACACACACACACACACACAAAGACAACTGAAAAATATGGACTGTAGCCTTCTGCAGCAAAGAAACAAAATAAAACACACAAACACTGACCAGTCAGAATATAAATGCAAAATAAAACAGATATAAAAGTCAATCAGGAACAGGAAAACTGGGGTCATTGTAATGTTTCATATGTAAGAAGGCATCAACACACTGTAAACACATCTTGTTTATAGCCGAATTTTTCATGTGACAAATTCAGTTCATATTTTTTATTGGAATATTTGTTAACAGCTGTGTGCTTTGTGTATTACTTATCATTATTATTGTACGTTTTTGGGTCTATTTCTTTCCTATGTTTTAAGTGTATTCTGACTATCACAGTCGCTACTGTAAAACTCAAAATTCAAATGGAAATATTTTTAGTTATTCAGTTTCCTGGTCTTTTTAACAGTTATGTCTAATATTAGATTAACTCATTTAGGTGCATTTGAATCAAAATCTGGTTTCCTTCAGAAGCTAATTGCATTATAAGGAAAGAAAAAAAAGCATCTGTAAAGAGGTGGGTGGGGAAGGAAGTTTTCATATTGTGTGGCCGAGAATCTGATTCATTAAGAATTAACGACCTGATGTTATTTTGTTTCTTCTTCTGCCTTCTATCCTCTAATGGAACAAAGGCCCTTAACCAACTCATGCGTTTTGTCCCTTGCTATTACATGCAGCTCCCCCATGTCCCTTGCTATTACATGAAGCTCCCCCGTGTCCCTTGCTATTACATTCAGCTCCCCCGTGTCCCTTGCTATTACATTCAGCCCCCCTGTGTCCCTTGCTATTACATTCAGCTCCCCCATGTCCCTTGCTATTACATTCAGCTCCCCCGTGTCCCTTGCTATTACATTCAGCTCCCCCATGTCCCTTGCTATTACATTCAGCTCCCCCGTGTCCCTTGCTATTACATGCAGCTCCCCATGTCCCTTGCTATTACATTCAGCTCCCCATGTCCCTTGCTATTACATTCAGCTCCCCATGTCCCTTGCTATTACATTCAGCTCCCCATGTCCCTTGCTATTACATTCAGCTCCCCCATGTCCCTTGCTATTACATGCAGCTCCCCATGTCCCTTGCTATTACATTCAGCTCCCCATGTCCCTTGCTATTACATTCAGCTCCCCCATGTCCCTTGCTATTACATTCAGCTCCCCTATGTCCCTTGCTATTACATTCAGCTCCCCCATGTCCCTTGCTATTACATTCAGCTCCCCCGTGTCCCTTGCTATTACATGCAGCTCCCCCATGTCCCTTGCTATTACATTCAGCTCCCCCGTGTCCCTTGCTATTACATGCAGCTCCCCCATGTCCCTTGCTATTACATTCAGCTCCCCCATGTCCCTTGCTATTACATTCAGCTCCCCCGTGTCCCTTGCTATTACATGCAGCTTCCCCATGTCCCTTGCTATTACATTCAGCTCCCCCGTGTCCCTTGCTATTACATGCAGCTCCCCCATGTCCCTTGCTATTACATTTAGCTCCCCCATGTCCCTTGCTATTACATGCAGCTCCCCCATGTCCCTTGCTATTACATTCATCTCCCCCGTGTCCCTTGCTATTACATTCAGCTCCCCCGTGTCCTTTCCATCTGTTTAACTTCACTCTCTAGCTCCCTTTTCCATGTGTTTTTTGGATCTTCCTTTATTTCTAGGCAAATGTGGGTTCCAGTGCAGAGACATTATAGTTATATTGTTCTCAGGTTTTTTCAGGATGTGTACTATCCAATGCCAGCATCTTTTCTTCACCTCTTGGTCCCTGGAACTTGTTTAGTACCATGCTACTATTGATAGACAAGCTGCTTGGAAAAAAGAAAATTATATTGCTGTTAATTATTATAAATGGCATAATTAGGAAAGATATTATTTACATGCCATGTAAGGACTATGATATAATATATACAATTTGGACTTCTTTTTTACACTGATTATTTATAATGTTAATACATATTGTTATGCAGAGTTTTTAGAATTTATGTAATTCTACTCAATCAATCTATCCTCATCGCTCCCAGAGGCACGTAAGGCAGAGACGAACTGTCACCACTCAATTCGATCCTGAGTCGTCCTCTTTATCTCCAGTTTTATCCTCCGCGTAGCCTTCAGTTCAGTCTCAAAGGTTTGCCTCCAAGTCCATCTGGGCTAGCCTCTTCCTCGCTGTCCGTATAGTGTCAGTTGCATTGTCAGTCTCAGCCGTCTCTCTTTCTTCATTCTGTGGAGGTGTTCAGTCCACCTCCATCTTCGTTTTTTTATTTCTAAATTTACATCTTTTAAGTCTGATTTTGTTGTAATCTAAAATTGCTGATTTTATCGTCCCATGTGAATTATACTCATTATGTGCCTTAATGTTTTAATTAATCGTAATTTGTGGGATTATTTTTAAAAGCATAAGATATATATGTAATACTTTCACATCTATAAAACAAGCTAAATTGATAGAGTTGATACTTTGTGCTATTTAAAAAGATGAATAATTCTGCTTGCCTCTGAGTTAAAGTAACAATTTCATTTTTAGTTGATGAGGAAGATCTAATGCTAGACTAGCATTTATTTTATCTGCAGTAAATGTCTTTTGTTTCTGAAATGTGAAGATTTTCCTGCTTGATTTCTCAACCCACTTAGTTAGATGTTTGTACTCAGTGTTGATAGGGGCTGAGTGGTCTTGAGGTGTAGCGTCCGCCTTGAGTGCCGCAGGCCCCAGGTTCAAGACCCGGCGAAAACTGGGATTTTTTCACATGGACTTCTAGTAATTTCCCCTGGTCTCTGGGTAATAAGTCAGATGCTCGTGTGTGTTGTTGCTCATGTAAAAAATCCCTTGGCAGTTGGAAATTAAAAATAGTAACCTAACGGCGCTGCCCGGGCAAAATTTGGAGTTGAAAATCTACACAAAGTATTTCAGGGTCCTCGCCACTGCTAGAGAGTTCGTGCACTGTACTGAGATTCTTTGGACTCCGGCTTGAGTTAGAAGTAGAACGGAGCACTTATGGGTTACCACTTTTGTGCCATGATATTGATCCATTGTTTGAAACAGAAACAGATTAAACAATGTTGATATCCAACAATCAGACCCACACATACAGGACTACAAGTTACTGTATAACCGTATTGTGGTGCCGCAATATAACCGTGCTGTATGGCTATACGGTTGAAATGGGTAATATTTCTTTAAACTGTTCATTTAATTCATTGTTACACTTCTTGTCACTTTACACTTTCTGTTTCAAACTCAGTTTTTAATTTTTGGCCTTATTATTCTGAAAGTCACTGTGTGCTGCTCTCTTCAATTTTCTGTTACAGTGAGTTTTATCGGCTTAATTATTCCCTTAAATTAATGCTCATTTGCTTCATTATTCCATTAAATTAATGCTCATCTACTTTATTATTCCATTAAATTAATGCTCATCTGCTTCATTATTTCATTAACTTAATGGTTATCTACTTCATTGCTCCATTGTCAGTGCTCATCTGCTTCATTATTCCATTAAATTAATACTCATCTGCTTCATTATTCCATTAAATTAATACTCATCTGCTTTATTATTCCATTAAATTATTGCTCATCTGCTTCATTATTTCATTAAATTATTGCTCATCTGCTTCATTATTCCATTATATTAATGCTCATCTACTTCATTGTTCCATTAAATTAATGTGTTTTTGCTTCATTATTCCCTTAAATTAATACTTGTCTGCTTCATTATTACATTAAATGAATGCTCATCTGCTTTATTGTTCCAAAAAATTAATGCTTATCTACTTCATTGTTCCATTAAATTAATGTGCATATGCTTCATTATTCAATGAAATTAATGCTTATCTTCTTCATTGTTCAATGAAATTAATGCTCATCTGCTTCATTGTTCCATGAAATGAATACTCATCTACGTGATTGTTGTAAAGAAGCAAGAAGCTTTTACTCTTCACCCTGTGTTAATTCTCCATTACCTCATTGGCTGACCCTCCATCCGCACTCATGCCTGTTGTTTTGATTACTCCCAGAAGATGCCAGTTCTCTGGATTTTTCAAACTGCTAATTTAGTGCAGACTATTTACAGCGATCACAGATGTGGTGAATTTCTGTCATAAAGAAAAATGTATCTCCTGCAATGTTTCTTGATTGAACTCTTTTCTGGATCAGACTAATTTCTTGTATGAAGAAACAT